GAGAGTGTGAGCGTGTCCGTGTGTGCGTGTGTGTGTGAGTGCGTGTGAGTGTGCGTGCGTGTGTGTGAGAGAGTGTGTGTGCGTGCGTGCGTGTGTGCGAGCGTGTGTGTGTGAGAGAGTGTGTGTGCGTGTGTGTACCTGTTTCTCATTTATGTTCCTCCCAGTGGAGCTGATGGCGTCCAAACACTTGTTGATGTTGGGCAGGACGTTCTTCTCTGTTTCAGAGAAGTGCACGTAGCCGTCGGCTAACAATCTGATGCGCCGCTCCTCCATTTCCTGCAGCTTCTGTGAGCGACAGACAGACAGACAGGAAGTAGAGCTCATAATATTCCAGTCAGGCTGATGATCTCTCTGATGAGAGCAGACCATGACGCACCTTATACACAGACGGGATCTCTGAGTGGTAGAAGTTGTTCTGCTCCTTATTGTGTTTCTGCAGCTGTGAAGCATAATCGTTCTTACACTCGTCTGCTAAGTGCACGCGGATGTGAGCGTGCTGTTTGGCCTAAAACACAGACACAGCATCAGATATACAGTATCTGTTACCCATCAAGCTTAAGCACGTGTGCTGAAGGAGTCTGTACCTTGTCCACGTCTGCTTTGGTGGCGTTTGCGTCCTGCTGGACTCTCTCTGTCTGCTGATTGGCCTTCTCTGCTTCTCTCCACTCCTTCTCAAAACGCTTCTTACTCTGGATATAAACCAATACAGATGCACACAAATCAGTAAAACATTCTAGCTCACTTCATAAACATGTATAAATGATAAGAAAGCAATCAATCAGTTACTCATGATGGTGTCTGAAGCAGATGCATTCAGAATAATGCATTATAATAATGCACCATCTTCACCATCATGTCTACAGTGAGACGGTCACACACACACACACACACACACACACACACACACGTTCACTCACAGTCTCCAGCTGTTTGAAGCTGCTCTCCAGGTTCTGCTGAGCCTTCTTAACGTCACAGAGATGCTGCAGCAGAGAAAAGCAGATTCACAGTCAGCATCTCAGAGACGTGTTCTGCATGTTTGTGCAGGTAGATTATGAGATGTTTAGTTCTGGCTCACTCACGTTCTTGCGCTCCTGTCGCAGCTCCAGCAGGTTTCTGCTGAGCTCCACGCAGATGTTCAGCGTCATGCTCTCGGACAGATGCTCTCTCTGAGCCGCGGAATCGTTCAGCTGATTCAGCACGTCCTGAAACGCCTGCTGATTGGTCATCCTGCAGAAACACAATCAACAACACCACCGCCGCTGCATTCAGGGCCGAGAGACACACGCATGATAGACCAGCACTTTTCCCGCGGGATGACTTATTACAATAAATTAATACATGAAAGTGTCATTTCTGAATGCTCTTAGAACATTCAAAACATCCAGGTTCTAAAATGCTTTTCTTGTTTATGTGAAAGCTAGGAAAAACGTTAAGGGAATGTCTAATTTTGTCATTTCACAAACACCATGGGAGTTCTCAGAAGCATCTGACACATGTAGTAAGCAGTAATGTTTATGAAGCATTAGACAAACGGCCAACTAAAAGGTTTCAGAAGAAATGTATTATAATGTTTTTGTGCTAACGTTTTGACAACATTGTTAGATGTTAGATTCCTGTTAGATTTGTGTGTTAATTGTGTGTTGTGTTTTGAAAAAAAGTGTTTTCTGAAATTGAAAACTGAGTCAGAAGCTGAGAATTAGCGTATGGTTTTGCAGATTTGGTGTGTGCTTCTGCTGTTTGAGAGTCGGCTTTCAGAAACTGTGTGACAAGGAAAGATTCTGTGTGCAAGCAGTTGAAAAAAAACTAATGTTACTGAAGAACGTTTATTCATGACTCTGAGAGAACATTGTCAGAACCTTCTCAGAACTTTCAAACAAAATGAATGTTGGTAACAAAAAAACCAAACAGTGTTTTAGAAATACCACAAACATCTTCATTCAGTCAAAATAGTTGGGAGTCAGCATTGCAGACTGACGGTATTGAGGCGGTTCATCAGTGTTTAATTGCCTAATCGACTCACTTTGTGTCCTGGTCTTCTTTGACGCCTCGTCTGGAATATTTCTTACAGAGGTTCCTTTAGAGAAACGTGCACAAAACAGGTTAAACCAAGATGAAACATGTTAACCCTGACCACCAGCGGCCTTCAAGAACACAAGATCAAACGCCACTTTAACTATTCATTGTGCACATGAAAATATATATTTTTGACAGACTTTCCAAACACTGCTGTCAGCCTTGCATGATAATATGACAAGCTTTCTGTTGATTTGACAAACAAAATAATGGGAAGTAAATCCAGGAGGGATTGAGATGATGATCCCGCTCAACTGGTGCAGAGCGTTCAGCTTTTGGACCTAATTAATATTCATGAGCCAATCCTTTTTACATCAGGGAGTCTATAGAAAAGCTAACAGAAAACTGTTTTTTGAGGATGATGATTTTAGGGTTTGTGGCATCAGAGACTGGAAACCTCTGCTTTATGCTGTACAAACACAAACCTGAGCTGTTTGGCGTAATTCTGCTCGATCTCGGCTCTCTCTTTGACAAACTTCACGTATCGCTCCAGCAGATCCAGCCCACTCTGAGTGTGTCTCTCAATCACATCATGCTGGTCCTGCAAACACACACGATACACAGATTTCTGAGTGTGTGTGTGTGTGTGTGTGTGTGTGAGGTATGCAGGACATTCAGCTCTCTAGGTGTGTCGCTCTTTTCCCACATGCAACTCTCAAACTAGCTTGACAGGTCGATCTGCTTCACACTAGCAGTGACAGACGACCTGATCTGATGGGTCACATGACACATGTGGCTTCAGCAGAAATTCATGCAACTTCTGTTGTTTTCATATGAACAGCTAATCATAAGTATTATAACCTAACTCTGTTGAAATGGTTATGTTAGCACACACCATTGCATGTTACACTTAGTTGAGTTTGTGTTTCTTTGCATGTTACACTTAGTTGAGTTTGTGTTTCTTATTCACGAAACATGCATCTATTTTAACAGGAAGGTGTGGAAGCTCACTGATCTACTTCCTGTTGGTCCAGAAACCATTCCAAAGCAATGGAGATGAGAAATAGTTTGTCTGTTCAGAGATGATCTGACACCAGTGGTAAACCAGTTTAACCTGCACAGGTAACGCCTCAGACACTGAAAGCAAATCACAGTGAGGCTGTCACGTGACTTAAAGAATAAATAATAGTAGGTAAACATAAATCAATGTTGTGTCATTTTAATTTCTTCTTAAACGATTAAAATGAAAAGTATTGCTCTTGCAACTGTCCCAACTAACCCAGTAGGATGTAGAAAAACCGCAACAAATGACTAAAAGCTTTATTGGTGCACTGGTCCACATTTGAAGCCTTTTTGCGTTGTTTTCAGTTTCAGTTTGTTGCGTTGATTAGGCTACTTTTTTTACGCACGCATTTCATTTATCACTTTTCTATAATTATTTCAGCTCTTAGTGACACTTGGTTTCAATATTAATATACACTTTCTGGGTCGCACTGGTTCAATTTAAATTAATAGCCATCATTAAAAAAAACAAAACAGTGTCGTTACATTTTTAATATAAAATGCTCTCACGTGTGCATCGTTTTTACGCGATTTGAACGCGTCCAGTATTATCAAAAATAGCCTATTGGTTCCTAATATACATTAAATATAAATATATTTGCTTATGTCGCCATAACATAGTCTAACTTCGGACAAGTAAACTATACTTTTTCAATCATAAAAAAGGTTAATCATGACTGCAGTTCACTTAAAAACATGTCATAATAATAATAATCGGGAAAAGTTGTGGGAGTTCGATTCAAGCTGAAGCGCAGGTAAACACACACCTGTTTGCTCGTGAAGTAAAGAATAAACTTACCCAAAGATCTGAACCCCAATCCATGATAGATCAGAAAGAAACCCACTGCAGCCAAAGAGCGCAAGATACGAAACTCCTCAAGGAAGCTTGTTTTAACTCACAATCTCTCCATACATATATCAGGTAATGTGGTGGTGTCTTTATGGAGAGGAGACGTATTTCCCGTCAAACACGGTTATTTCAGCAGGTGAATGAGTAGTTACAGTGAAGAGGATCGTCTCATCTGATCTCGCGCTTGAATGTCAGCTCAGCACACCTGAGCTCAGGTGCATTTGATTGTGCTTCTGAATCACTGGCCGTTCTCAGTCGATGGATTTTTGACAGATAACAACGTCTCCAACACGGTTAAGAAATAAAAATAAAACACCGGTAAAATTAAAGATATTTATAATCCGTAATGATGACAGTGGCCTTTGTGCACAGATTTGTTGTAACACTACACTGTCACTGACATCTACTGGATCAAAATGTTAATATAAACTGCTACTTTATCGAGGTGGACGAATGGACCAATCACAGTCGTTTGGTGTCAGGTGGTTGGACCAATCACAGTCGCCCGATGACTGAATGGACCAATCACTGTTTTATTGTTAACCCCTCAGTCTTCGGTGGTGGATAAGAGCTGCGTGATAAAATTGCATTCATTTGACTTTTCTGATTCTGTTGAATCACATCACAACTAAAAAAAGGCTATATTCAAAGTATAGCTTTATAGTAAAGATTTGGTGAAATTTGAAAGCTGTTTATCTCCAGTTACTCCATTCTTCTTACAGCCAATCAGATTGTGTTTTATGTGCCTCAATTAACCGTCTGAATCTGCTCTTTTAGTGCACTCATTAGTTTAGTCTGTTATGTGGTGGTTAGTTTGGGGGTTTTGTTCGATTATTATTTTTTTTTTAACAGTATTAACATCATTTATTTTGGTCCTACTGCTGTTCGTGGTCGGTGCTTTGGTTTGGGTCCATTAGTATTCAAAGGGTTAGTTCACCCAAAAATGATTATTAGCCCATGATTTACTCACCCTCAAGCTATCCTAGGTGTATATGACTTTATTCTTTCACACGAATCCAATCGGAGTTATATTAAAAACGTCCTGGCTCTTCCAAGCTTTATAATGGCAGTGAATGGGTGTTGAGATTTTGAAGTCCAATAAAGTTCATCCATCCATCATAAAAGTGCTCCACGGCTCCGGGGGGTTAATAAAGGCCTTCTGAAGTGAAGCAATGTGCTTGTGTTCGAAAAAATATACATATTTAAAACTTTATAAACCATAATCTCTAGCTTCCGCTAACTGTCACATGTGTGTTCAGGAGAGAGTGGTGTTCCAGCTGGTGAAGTAGGATGTAGGCGTAGAGTCTTTGTCAGTAATAGTAATAATATTTTGTTATTAAATTGCTTTTTATTAATGACTGCTTTTCCGCAATGTCTGAAATGTCTCTATTTCTGTATTTTCATCTTTAACTTAATTTTGTCCACCTGACCAAAACAATTGGCCCCGCCAGTGTCTCACTGCTTCTCCTTCTTTCAGTCATCAGGGTCTCAAATCCGAAACAGATTCGTTCCAGCAGGATGGAAGGATGATTGACTGGAAAATGCTGGAAGCAGAACATCTATTGCAAACTAAGGTCTGTCATTTCTTCTCTCTAATGCCACATAGTTTGTTATTGTTAGTTCTTCGTGGTTTATTTGACAGATAATTCAGCACTCTTCAGTAATGATTTTAGTAGTTCAGGGCTTTGTCCTGCCAATGTTTTACTGATCCCACAACACTGTATTTTTACCAATGTATTTTTTCATTTTATTTATTTAATTATTTAGTCGTTCGTTCATTCATTCATATTTTTTTCTTTAAATGCAGTTGTTTTTATCAGGTCAAACTTAAGATTTATTTGGTAGGATGGATCCAGAAAATTCCACAAGTATATTTAAAGGATATTTTACGCCTGTGAAGCTGAATTAAATAAATGTAAATACAACACCAACCTGAACGGACTGCATCACAGGAATACACAGAGGTACAGTAACTCATGAATGTGTCTGTGTTGATCAGCTCAATAATAATCATCTGATGCTACCTTTGTGATTGATCTGTTTGTCTAAATTTGTAATATTAGCGGATGTGTTCTCTATGGAAGACCACATATTGTTAGTATATACTACATCCCACATCAAAATTGATTTGCAAGGTGATCGATGCACAATCTGTCAAGAGTGCTTCCTATCCACCTTTTCCTGAACACTGAAGTCTTGCCCGACTCATACTGGAACGATGCTTTACATTTCCGGTCTCTGGTGTTTCTAATCATATTAATATATCTCCCGACCTGAAAATATAACATTAAACCTATGAAGATGGTTTTAAAAAGCACATGGCGGCATAGTTTCATCACTTTACAGTGTCGCAATGAGCATCTTTTTGCAGTAACTCACCTGTCGTAGTTTAATGAGTGGGAGGATGACATGAAGCGACCTGCGGTTAGCTACATTGAATGAGCCCACGTATCCTACATACTGATTTTGTGCACAAAGTGATAAGTGCAAACGTTATTTTAACACACTATTTTATTATTTCACATACAGTATTTTAACTGAAGCGCTTTAAGCCATGCTCGTGTTGTTTTGTCATCGTTTATGCATGGCATACAGCTCTGGACAAGGACAGATCTGCTGGTACGCAAAACACGTACTGTATAGAAATTCAAATTCTTTAAGTTCTTTTGCTGTTACTGTGGCAGCCAACAACAGGACAGCTTAAGCTGATGCACATTTTTATATTTAGACATATTGAGAAAGTTTACGTTTTATTAATTCTTTTTACCCTGTTTTAACATAGATTTGTATGGAGAGTGGATCACGACAGCATCCAAACGGAAGTTATCCTTCATGGCATCGCTCATCAGTTACTAAAAAAGTGGATACAATCTGAAAACATTTAACACAGTAAACAGTTTAAAATGGTAATGGTTGTCATTTGCACTGCTTAGTTCTGCCACAAGCTGTAGCAATTATTCACCTATTCATTCAATTAAAACACACACAACATGTGACATTTTACCCACATTTCAGTCACATAATGTACAGCTTTTGTAGGCCAGGAGTGTGTTTGCAAATCTGAACACATCTAATCATCAGGTATCATTGTTCGACAGCGTTTGTTGTTTCCATAGCAATGACAAAACATTTAAATATTTGACTACCTATAATGGCTGATAAAGTAGCGTTTATAAGTGCAGCACTGTTTTGTGTACTGCGGTTCACCTGCTGGCAGAGAATGATTTTGCATTTTCAATAAGCCTGTCAGCTGTTTTTATTCAGACCAATGCGAAAATCAACCAATATTTTTCACGCAGCGCCAAACAAACAGCTGTAAATGTGAAACGATAAGAAGCTATATTAGCCATAAGAAGCTAAAATGACTTCTAAAAATCTAAACAATTAGGACACTAAGATACAATTATGTGTTTTAAATTAATATAATAATATAATAATTGATACATTTGACTTATCCCTTTTACTAAAAATGGTTTAAAGGCTGACAATTGATGTGTATTCTTCTTCTTCTTTTTTGACTTTTTGTTTTGTCAAACCTGCATCTGAACTGTAATTCATTTCATTTTACGGTTTAATATGTTACCATAGACATTGCCCTACCCTGCTCATAGTCTTCGTTTTATTTGTGTAGCTCTTAAAAAAGCCGTAAATTTGTTTGAGACTCCTTTGCCGGCGTAACTCTCGTGCAAAGTTTGCAAATTGCTTGTGTGATATCCGTATACTCACCTTTTTGAAATATTTCTGTGACATGACTTTTTTTTTTCATCACTCAACTCAATCTTTTCTTGCAAAATGATAGAAAAAGATTGTCATTTCAAGTGATAGTAAAACAAAGTAAGTAACTGAATAAGTGAGTAAATGTGCGGTACTATCGTGTATCTTACAAGCTGATGGACAGGATAGTATATCTCTGTGGAGCACATCGCTCAACGTTACTGTATAATTACATTTGTACACATTTTGTGTTGCTTTGGTGAAGAGTAGTGATAAAGCTCACCAGAAAACACTGCTCTGATTAAACCAAATTTAATTTCCCATCAAAAATGTTAATGTTCACTATTTGCTTCTTTCTTTATAGGCTTGGCAAAGAGAAATATGAAGTCCACCAATGAGTCCAACCAAAATCACTGGAGCGCACATCTGTTTTAGTCTGTTTTAAAGTATGGTGCAGAATCTTTCCCACAATCCCTTTGCTGTGGGTGAGTTGTTTTGTGCAGGCATGTCGTCATCAAACTGGATTATGGACTCACTGTCAGATGAATCACTGGATGATACAGTGACCGCTGTGAAATCTGGACTGACTGTATCTGAAGTTTGAGGTCTGACAGGCTGTGTGTGTGTATAATAACCCATCTTCTCCAGAAAGTCCTCTAAACTCATCCTCCTGATGATCATGAGAAGGCCTCTGGAGATCCGGTAAGTGGCGTGTGGATCGTAGTTGTTTGATCGAGCGGGGTGTTGAGTCACATAAACTTCATGAAACCACTCCTCATCGAGACTGACAATGATACGGTCCGTGTTGCTGTCGTGCTCGTCAGTATATTCATCTTCTGAGACGTAATCGGGAACATCTTCAGCTCCTGGTGAATTTAGATTGCCAACGACATAGTAAGGGAAATTTCTTTCTGGGAGAAGTTTATTCCCATATTGGTTGTGTCGGTTCTCAAAATAGTGAAAACCGAAATCTCCCTCGGCTGGGTTACATTCAGAGAGCATGTCATTGTCTTCGTCAAAAGAAACGCATTCGTTGGCAAACCAGTAGAGGAGTTTGAGACCGTGTCTGGGCCGGGGTCGACCAAACCTCGTGTCTCTCAGCTGGGACAATTCATTTAATGTCTCCATCATGGTCCTGCACCTTCAGAAGAGACATTAATGTATAGGTATTTATTAAAATACAAGATCACTGAAGGATGTGTAGAATATTTTCTTGTGTGATTGGAAAAGTTTCTGAGCAGAATTAAACTGAAAACAGTGACAATAATCAGCATATGTGAACGGAGGCACCTTTCAACTGAACAGACGTCAAAAAGGATTTGTTTATTTTATTTGCATTTCATACAATGCCTCAGCTTTAATGGGATTGAGTTTTGTGGTTACAGATGTGGGTCATTTACGTGTTGGCGACATTATTTGAACTGTGTGCGCAGTCTTAAGTGTACATTTGCCATGTTTTGATATTTCATTGCATTTCACCAGTGTTTATTATTTGCTGTGTGGATCTGTTGTCAGTCATTGGGGTGTTTTGGATTCTCAAACACCCTTACAGTTGTATCCTGTAGCATTGTGTAATATGAGTTTACAATGATTGATGATAATGTAGAGTCAGTGATCATTACGGTGCGTTTCCACTGGCACATAGCGAGCGCAGCGTTTTCAATTCATTCCTATGGAAGTTGAGCTTAAACGTTA